AGTATATAACGGTGGTCAGGCATAGAATGTATTTCAGCAGAAGATCGATAAGGACAGAACGGAAATGGAACATAATTGGTATGAAAAGGCATGAACAATGAAATCTGAGATGATGGACTGATATTTGAAAAAGGAACATTCAAGTTTGAGACAGTTGATTGGTATTTTGCAAATCAACTATTTATTATATTGTCCTCAGATTTTATTGAGATGTTCTCTAATTTCGTGTCAAATACATTCGATAGGCCCTACTTGTGTTCTTGTTCGCTACAGGGCGTGTAAAACCAATTTATGTACGTACTTACTTAGGCTTTTTACTCTCATTGGGGCAAAGACCGCTGACCAGCATTCTAGTTCTATCCAATTTTTGTTCATTTTTCTTATGTTTATTTCCATTTCCCAACGTAATGTGTTCTTTGGTCTTCCTCTCCTTCTTTGGCCTTGAAGATTCCATGTGAGGACTTGCCTTGTGACGCAGTAGGGTGTTTTCCTTAATGTGTATCCTATCCACTCCCAGTGCTTCTTCCTGATTTCTTCCTCCTCTGGGATCTGACTTGTTCTCTCCCATAAATTTATTTATATATCCAATAAATATTCCTATCTAATAATTCTTTTTAACGGAAATCATACCATAGAAGACTAATGAAAAATCAAAAGTTGAATGTATATCAATATATTTTTCATACAATTCATAACATTCAATAAAACATAACGACAATCTAGGAATCTATCAACTGTTCACATGATGCACTTGGTATTGTTTGGTTTGTATCTTCCCACTGAGGTTTAAGACTGCGATTGATCAGTCTGTTATTGGCATATGTACATACTGTGCGTATGCCTCGATATTGCTTTAATTCACAAGCTTTTTGTAAGCAGTGATGGATAGTGGCTAGCAGCGGAATCTAGGACGCGCGTTTCGTTCTACTCTAGATTCATCAGCTGTACCTGCATCTCAGAGTTGATGTTCACTCTGGGACTCGAACTCAGTACCATTCGCTTCAAACGCCATCGCCTTATCCACTTAGCTACTGTGTCCTGATAGCCACTTGCTTATGTTCACATGATGTATTTACAAATTTATCTTTCAAATACAAAATAAAGACTTCATCCATACAATCAAAGCACTTCATCTTTTTTTAACTACTAGCCAGCTTAAACTGTATATAGTACAAAGAAAATTGAATATTTTCAGAATGGGTTTTGTGGAGATTTTAGAAATTTCACAGATTGAAAACCCATTCTGATAATAATTAACTGCTGACTAGTGACTGACTTCAGGAAAAACTCCCGAAGTCCTAGTGAGAAACCGTTACCAGTGGAGTTCAACCAGGTCTGTTGTGAGATAGGAAGTCATTGAAGACAATGGTATACGGTGGCGCAACTTCGTGGATTGGTTGAAGTTAGACATTAACACCGTTGGATACCGGCTCAGTGGTCTAGTGGTTAAGTGCTCGCGCACGAAGCCAGTAGGTCCTGGGTTCGAGCCCCGCGTGGTGCGGGATCGTGGATACGCAATGCTGAGGGGAGTCCCATACTAGGACGAGACGGCCGTCCAGTGCTTCCAGGTTTTCAATGGTGGTCTAGCTTCAACTGTCTCATGATTTCAATCTGTGTAAATTGAATATATTTTATGTACAAGTCCACAGAAAATGCATAACATACTGTCTCTTATATGTACAATTGTATTTATTCCTGTTTTCCAGTATCCAATATCTTTACATTTTTTTGTCATACAATAAGTACTTTAGAAAAGTTTATTTTGAATGATAAAAAATATAAAAAAAATAAAGTGTCAAGAAAGAGTATTCGGTCAAGGTCAAGGTGTTTTAAAAACAATGAAAAGAATATTAAAAAGAAGAATATATTTGTAAAATCTCAGCGAATGAATTTTAAGTAAATCCAACGTTTCGCCTGGCAATCTGGTCCAATTTCTATGATTAAAAATTCTGTTAAGTGTTTATAATCAAACTAGTGAATACATTGACATAGTGCTAGAAAATCACAAGTGTGATTGTTGTACAACTTCATTATCATTGTCAAATAAACTAGGTGATATGCAAAATAGGTCAGTAACAATAGTTAAGAAGTAATTAAATATAAAACAATTAGTCCTTTAGATAAATTTCAATAATGCAGTGATTACATTATAGAACAGTCAACTGTTTAGTAAGATAAATAATCACTATAGTTCATCAATTTAGATTACAGCTTTAGGTAGATAGGTAGATAGATAGATAGATGGATACACAATGCTAATAAAAAGAATCTGAACTAAAAGAAATGGAAAGAAAAAAGATCATAAAGGAAATTTACGAACTGCCTTCTCGATTCGATTTCGTAGAATCTGTTCAAATTGATTAAATTTCATTACATTTCAAACTTCTTACCCATCGCAACTTGATAATCGTATACAAAATATTATGATAAATTCTAACTGAATCCATACTTTGAAAGAAATAAGTACTTCGATATTCTGATAACAAAATTGGATGTTTTGTCTTATTTACTTACTTACGTCTGTTACACCTCGTGGAGGACCATAGGACTCCTATCAGTATTCTCCATCCCACTCTGTCTTGGATAATCCTTTTTCAGTTGTTTCCAGTTCTTATTCATCCTTTTCTTGTCTGCTCCCAATTTCCGACACATTAAATTCTTTGGTCTGCCCCTTTTCCGTTTCCCTTCATGATTTCAAGTTATCGCTTGCTTCATGATGCATTTTGATGATTTCCTTAATGTATGTCCTATCCACTTCCAGAGTATTTTCCTAATTTCTTCTCCAGTTGGAAGCTGGTATGTTCTATCCCACATTAAGTTATTGCTGATGGTATCCAGTCAATAAACATTGAATATCTAGAGTAGACAATTGTTTATGAATACTTGTACTTTTTTGATGATGATTGTAGTAGTTCTCCAAGTTTCAGCTCCATGCAATAGGACTGTGTTGACGTTCGTCTTCAAGATTCTGATTTTGATATCCGTTCTCCAACTGTACAAATGCTGTCTGTTTTACCAAATTATCTTATTTTCAGATGATATATTTTAATTTCAATAAATTTACATTTCAACTCAACTCAAAAAAATTCGGTTGAATAACGGCTGCTCATAAAAATATTTAAGATAATAGTAAGTGTATAACTTATAATAAATTAAATACAGATCTTATGCATTGGATGTGTGATGAAAATGATAATCGACAAAATCAACACCAGAGTATTTCTTTTCAAAACATCAAACAGTCTAAAAAGTAATCTCAATTCTTATAAAAGATACAGTAGTCAATGATTCATAGTTTAATTATGCATACATAGTAAAATGTTCTGACTACGATGCAATATATATCGGACAGATTTTTCAAGAAACTAAGCTCAAAACAAAAAACATTTTAGAACTGTTGTTTAACCATAGAGAAATCCATTAAAATTTGAAAAACGAACTTTGATGAGACTATAATTTATGGACGACCTCTGAGAGACGTTAGATTGACCTTGAGAGTGTCCACTTAATAATCATGACCAAATGAGAATAATGAACCTGTGTGAGGAATTAGAATTAGAATTTACATTTGGTGATTAAGCTTAGGAATCAAATTTCGAGTTTTCATCACGAACTGACATCAGCTATAATGCTAAAACTCTATTTATCCAAATGGATGAGTGAATCCGAGACCTGTTATCTTATACGTGATAAGTTCGTCCATAAATTATAGTCTAGTCAAAACTTTTACAAAATCCTCCATCTCATGTCTACACTGGATTGATTTTAACAATACTATAAAGTAACTAAGAAAAGTTTTAAAAATCAGTAGTGTTTCATAGAACAAGTGCTTCACATAGTGTCTTTCAAATTACTTGAATAACAATGAGGAGAGATAATAAAATATGGCCTGACTTTAGTACTTTCCTCACACAAATTTACACCATCAACACAAATATGGTAACAACTTTGCTTTATATAAACAGAGGCTTCTTTTATGTATCATATACTTATTAGACCTAACAATTTACATATGTTTGTTCTCTTTATCGATTCATTCATTCAATAACTGACAAATTTAATCCAGTTATAAAATATAAAATAAGCTGAGATACAGTTGCTGGGATTAAATAATGAAAAGTCAGTGGAAATAGTTTTTTTTCTCTTGATCAGATTGTGGATATGCAATATTGAGTAGTTCTATACTATGACGAAACTATTGCTCAATACTTCCTAGCTCTTACAGATCATTGAACCAAGAGCATACAGCGATGTATTTTACGAAAAACAGTCTATGCATTCAATCATGCGTTAACTTAATTTTGGCGAACGATTATCGGTAGATATCTAATAGAAATGTTAATTGATCTACAAAAATCATGTCTGTTAATTTACGGTAACTTTTTGTTTATCGACTGAAAAAAACCTTTATTTACAAATGATAGAGTAGTGGATTTGTCAACAGAGTATTCGGTTTCTCAACATCAAATCACAGGCTTGAACCTAAAACACCATTTTTCGGTTTGATCACCTGAATGATAATGGATCGCTCTTGTGCTAATAACATTTGACTAAAATTTAAGTACATGAATCTAAAGTTAGGACTTAAATCTATCACGTAAACCACTCACTCCGTTTGACTTCATACTGTAGTGAACAAGAACAAAATTGGGGACAAACGAATATATTTGGTACAAAATTACAGAACATCTCAATAAAATCTGAGGACAATATAATAAATAGTTAATTTGCAAAATACCAATCAATTGTCTCAAACTTGACTGTTCCTTTTTCAAATATCAGTCCATCGTCTCAGTTTTCATTGGTCATGCCTTTTCATACCAATCGAGTTCTGTTTCCGTTCTTTCCATCTCGTTCTTCTACTGAAATACATTCCAGTCCTAACTATAGTTATATACTACTTTTGTAGATAATATTAGCTCACACCATAATACTACTTAGATTCATTCTACTAATCAATTTTCACACTATTTTTTTATCTATTTTATTTCGATTTATAGGAGTTTCATTCGACGTAAACAATTATTGAAAAGAAGAAGAAATCCTAAATACTTATATTGTTCTAAATATCCTAAATCAAAACCTATTAATCATTGTTATATTAAAGCTAATAATTCATGTTATTGGTCACCAAATAAACCTAAACATAGTCATTCATTTTCAGTATGGTCTGAAGGTCAACCATTAAAATATCATCAGAATAAACATCGAATATCTTCTACTTCATCATTGAATCAATTTAATCTAATGGTGAATTCATCGCAATCTCATTTTTATCCAAATAATCATTGTATAAAAGATCCAAAGTTTATTCATCGTCAATCTAATTCATCAGCTAATGTAATTAATAATAGTAATGAACGTAATTTTATGAAATATAATTATCATCAACATGATGAAATATATGGAATGAGAAATCATATGAATAATGGTTATTTAGAATATAGTAAACGAATAAATAATGCCAAATCAACAATGTTTCCAAATTCTCAAAGGTTAATAGTGTAAGTAAAAATACTTTTCATGTACAATTCTATTGAATTGTTAAATTTCTCTTTGGAAATAATAACTAAATCTTCATGTATAGATGTTTGCTTCTTGTTAAAAGATAAATAGAGAAATATTTTATTGGTTGGAATCTTGAATGGATTGATGTTAGACCACTTTTGAAAACCTGGAAGTACTGGACAGTCGTTTCGTACTATTCTGGGACTCTTCAGTAGTGCGCATCCATGATCCCTCTCGAGGGATTCAACCCATTGCCTTCGGTCTCGGGCGCGAACGCTTAACCTCTAGACCACTAAGCCGGACGATATCCAACGGTGCTAATATCTAACCTCAAACAATTCACGAAATCGTGCGAACATCTTCCATCCTACTGAGGTAGATACCTGTCTCAACTTGACACGGATTAGATCCACTGGTCACGGCTTCCTACTAGAACTCCAATAATTCCCTCACGAAATTAGTCATTAGTGAGCACATAGTAACAACAATCGATTTAAGATTTCAATCAATAACTTATTAATCTGCACAACCCTATACTGATACAGAAGTATTCAGAAAAAGTTATCTTGGCAATTACCTTGGCAACATGAAAATTTTTGACTACAACTTCTGTAATCTAATGTATTCAGTTCTCTAAAATTTATTCTTCATCATTCTAATTTTTGTTATTCTCTTGGAATGGTTAAAATGTCATAATCCAGATATATTGCACTGACTGATTGTTTGAAAACATATCACAGTGCGATTGACCTCCAGCAGTAAAATAAAATATTGTTTCGAGTAACTGTTAGTTGGTTGAGTTTTTTATCTAAATATGCCTTGGTTGATAATAAATCATGCTAAAGTGTTTTATCAGTACATAGCTGAGGAGATTGCTGGATTTTATTGCGATTTTTAAACGACCCAAATAAGACAACTAATAAAAAAGTAGGGAACACTGGAGAACTGTTTCGTCTCATTATGGGATTCTTCAGGAGCGTAAATTCACAACTCCACAAGCAGAGATCGGATTCATGACCTTCAGTCTCGAGTGTGAATGAATAACCTTCTTATCAATTAATGTACACTCATAACTTCAATCAATCCACGATAATTTGAGACGACCTTTCAGTGTTTGTGATGAGTATGTTCCTTACTCGCTACACATTTGAACTCCATTGGTCACGGCTTCTCATTAGAACCCTGAGAATTTCGTCAGTGGTCCGAGGTTAAGTATTGGTGTGTGAGATTGAACGTCATGAATTTAATAACCAGTTGCAAGTTCGTGGATTCACATTACCACGGAGTCCCACACGAAGACGAATCAACCGTCCATCGGTTCCTGGTTTTCAACAATAGAAATACACTTACACGTAAACACGTTCGATATAATATGAATGAATTATTTCCTAGTTTATAGTTCTACCATACCTATGTACTGTATCTACACAATTTTTGTGTATTATTATCAGATCTATTAACAGATGTCTATAATCTTAAATTTTCTGTTTGCACATTATATATAAATTTCTGAAATTGATATTTTCAAAACGTTAGTTTAAATAGTTTTATTACCCTTCATTATATTTTAGACTCTTGATCTGATTGGATCTTTCCACCTCTTTATTACATAATACCTTCTAGTTGTTTGATCAGTAGATTTCTTTTACTTATATAGATTATTCTTCATATTTTATAACATCCTTTTCTTGCTAAACACACGTCAATATAGAAACAAGGTTGTTGAGTAAATCAAACTGATAAGAGAGCAGAAAACATATAGTAAATGCTTCAATGATTTTTCCTACTGTAACTCATATTTGAGACAATAGTTGTTGTCCCATTGTTGATAACATTTACCAAAACTGACAGTCTTTACGGTCATTTATTAGTGAATTTTTGTCATTAAGAAAGTAAAATATCATAATAATCTGACTGATAATGAATCAGTGTATGGTAACCATCTTTACACTGTATACGTCTTGTTCTCAATAGTATTGTTTCATAGTGAAATAAACAATTTAAATTAAACCAGTCATAATGTTTAGCTTTAATTGTGCTTACTAAAGAGTATTTCATATCTTGGAGGAATTTCTTAAAGTTGACTTTTGAAATTTATAGGGAATTTTTCCCTTACAATAAACATGTTCACATAACTATGGTAGAAATGATCACTTATCAGCATTAAAGGCTAGTTAATAATTGTACAGCTATCATAGATGTAATAAAAGATTATTAATAATAATGACTTTATTCAATATTATAATTTCGGTACAATATAGAATTTTCAGCACAAATTATTTCAACAAATTATCTTCCCTTATTTCTTTATCGATCCTGATGATAAATATCGAGTGATCGCCAATTAGATGTTAGCAGTTCAGGAATTGACATTTGAATATTGTTCATCCATGTTGATGCATATTGTCAACTATCATGATGTCTGATTGTACTTTTTTGTAGGTTGTACAGTGAAAGTTCGTAAAGTTTTCGTAAACGCACCTGAATAAATTATGCAACTGATAGACATAATGATGTATTAGAACAAACAAAGAAAAAGATAACTTGTTGAAATATCTAGATGGGCGGAGCAAGTATCCCTATGACTTACTAAAAAACAACTCAGGTTTTGTGCATCCTTATCGATGTGAAAACATAATTTCATATATAACGTTATTTGTCTTGTTACTTTACAGGCCATCAAAACAATCAAATCCTTCAGCTGTAGGAAATCAATCAATGTTTTTCAATTCACAAAAAATAACAAATGAAAATGATATTACAGATTCTGAAACTCCTACTACTGAATTTACTGAAAGTTCAAAATCACATAAAAGTATATCACAGATTAATGTGCATCGAAAAGGTAGAAGTTTAAGTCCAGCTGATATAACTAATTTCAAAGAATCAAAATTTCATTTCAGTCTCAAACCACGTTTTTCATTAGCTGAATCTGATGAAATGAATAATCAACCTATTGAAAATAGTCAATCGTCTGGTTTTCGTGATGTGGTATGTTGAAGTTATCTTTTGTTTTATAAGTTTAAAAAAAGAGTAGATTTTAAAAAAGTATTCACTAAATTATGGTTACCGATTCGATAATTATGTTAAATTTGTGTAAAATGCAATGGGTGAAAGAGCTTCAAACCTAAATAAATAACAAAGATGGTTAGTGGGTAGCAATGGAATCCAAGACGCGCGTTTCTTTCTAACCGGGACTCCACTGCTAGCCACTAACCATCTTTGCTTAAAAAGTTTGTAACTTAAGGCTATATCGAGGCAATCCGTACAGGGTGCATATATGTCAACATGAGACTGATCAATTGCAGTCTTAAATAACAATGGGAAGATACAAGTAAAACAACATCAAGTCAATCTAAACAAATAACGTTTCAATTACATAATCAGTCTATAATAATAACAGGAATAAATTCTAATCTCCTGAGAGATTTAAATTAAATCTTCTTATTTGTTACATAAAATCATTCTGTATAAGTGAATTTTCAAAATTAGTTCACAAAAGAGAAATGAATAAACAAGCAAACAAACAAATCAGAGGCTAATCCCATTTGAAAATAAAAGATATAAACCATTACCAATGTTACAGGTTTATTTATTATGTCTAGTAAATTCATAATGTTTATGACAAATACGAGTAAAACCATACGAAACTTCTAACATTACTGTGCTTTTATTATTATCATTGTTGATGAACGAAGTAACTTTGGTGGAATTTTTATTGCAGATATTAATGATACACAGATTTAATGTTCATGATAGTAAGTACGAGATTTTCAAATCATGATCTAACAGAAAGAAATTCAGCATGGGGGTTGTAGACATAATTAAGTTCTCGATTGAGATCATGGACCGATTAGTGTTAGACCACTATTGAAAACCTGGAGGCACTGGACAGTCGTTTCGTACTATTCTGGGTCTCTTCAGTAGTGCGCATCCATGATCCCTCTCGAGGGATTCAACCCATTGCCTTTGGTCTCGGGCGCGAACGCTTGACCTCTAGACCACTAAGCCGGACGACACTCAACGGTGCTAATATCTAACCTCAAACAATTCATGAAACTGTGCGAACACCTTCCATTGTACTGAGGTAGATACCTGTCTCTAACCGACACGGATTAGATCCACTGGTCAGTGCTGACGAGCCCCGAAATAGGACGAAATGGCCATCCAGTACTTCCAGGTTCTCAGTGGTGGTTTAGCATCAATCAAAGCATGATCTCAATCAAAAACTTAATGATCTCCACATCCTCATACTGGTATTTACTATGTGCTCACTAGTGACTAACTTCGTGAGGGAATTCTCGGAGTTCTAGTGAGAAGACGTGACCAGTGGATCTAATCCCAGTCAAGTTGAGACAGGTATCTACCTCAGTACAATGGAAGATGGTCGCGCAATTTCTTGGATTGTTTGAGGTTAGATATTAACACCGTTGGATGTTGTTCGGCTTAGTGGTATAGAGGTTTCTCTCACGGGGTAAACATCATTTCTAGGATATAGGTATATCCACCTAACGAGTTCTCATTAGAATGAAATATTTGTTTCAGATTCCACTGCTAGGTACATCTATCTCTTTCTGAAAGTGACGAAAAATATTTGAAAATTGAATGAGTCTAAAGTGACTAGACTAGAAAAGTGTTTTTCAAGACCAACAGTCAGAAGTCCTAACTGGTGGAGTTTAACCATGTCGAGAGTTATATATGTATCATTATGATCACCGAATGATCATCATACCATAACTCGAATAGAATCAGACTAGTTGGAATTTATCGTGACTGCAATTTAGGCCTTCAGGCTCTGAGTACAAATATGTATTACACAATTAGTGAACATTACTAACGAGCCAAGAACTAGGAAGAAACAACATTTTGAGCCTCCATAATTTTGTTGTGGTTCACCAAATGATGCTAATTAGTGATAAAACCATCTATCGGCGAAGACCTAATCTAACTATGATTTCAATAAATCACATGTTATCATTTTCCAACTGGACACATCACAATAACTTGTTAGGAAATAAAAGCGGAAATCCTAGTCATTGATTTACTAAATCCATGGCTAAATAGAAAAAGGAACGTCCCATCAAACCACAGAAAGTGATTATATAGGTGATTGGATAAACCAAATGTTCACAACTTGATAACGTTTTGGTGATCAGTCATTTGAAGTCATGTCATATATAATAAAACTGAAGGCTTGAATGTGTAACATCTAGAGTAAAACCTTTAGATCAATAAGTTTGCATTCAACGATTCACAATTCTAACTCTCCTAGCTACGTACACTGTCATGAATTTATTCCACTAACTATGAATGTGTTAATACTGTTTATTGTAAAATCCAACGGTCGATATTCCTGGCAAAATCCTTCACTGTTTCTCTGATTACTAATCAGAATATCGGGGAAACTGTCTAAGTGCCTCATATTATTATGTATTACTCGGACTTTAAAACTTACGTAATCGTATACATGAAATTCAAGACCTAGATAGATCATTTATAGTAACTTGCAATATTTGTATAACCAGTACAGTTGTAGTATAAATTTGAAAAACAGGTTTATCATTTATTAACGGTAATATTTTTGACGGGGAAGACAATAGCATTAGTTGGTGAGTCAAATGGAAGCCTACAACGAATAGAATACGAAAATATCATAAACAAGTTGTTTGATAAATACACATTAAAAATATAGATACTTATGCTTAATAGAATAGCATCTGAAGTTACACACCTTAATAATTCTACTCCCCCCCATTGTCTTAACATAATTAACATTTAATTTCTCGAGAGTCTCTATGGTGGTAAGACTGAAGTATAGGACCGAACCAATTGGAAATTGAATTACAGAATTTCACTTCAATAATTTATAGGTAACATGGTCGTATTGAGCTTGAATGTACTGGTTTTGATTTCGTGAGGGGATTTGCGTCTTCACTGTTGAAGAGGATCATGAATTAGTTATCCAACTTTATCTGGTTTTCTGTGAATTTCCATTAACCTTAACTCAAAATTACTTAAATTATTTAGGTATACTTCATTCATGTGATTGAATAACAATCAGTCATTATTATTTTGTGTATCACTGGTAAACTGTAAAAACAATAGAGCGAAATGAATTATCTTTTCGAATTTTTATCTTAGGTTAGTGTATAAAAACATGATTGATTGGGAGATTGTTGAAAAATTACTGTACGTTTGGATTTCAGGAAAAGTTCTCACATGACTCAAGAATACTCTATGTTGATAAGAGTTTTAGCTCACGCGACATCTAAAGAGATAGTTTCATGTGATTTATCTCTCATCACTGGGTCCTAAATCACATTGATGTTATTTATTTATAATTTAAAGTTTCCTCACTTTTTTTTTCTTTCACACATGTAGATTATTGACTGTAGTTCACTGGAAAGTGCTATCAGTTATCCAGTACAAAACTCTTGTTCATATTTGAATGACAATAAAAACCTAGACAGTTCATTAGAAAGTCGAAGTTTGATGTCAGTTTACCTAAATGATGTTGCACAAAAAAATCGAATTATCACTCCTACAGTTACGATTACTACTACTAACATCAATAATACTGTTAGTGAAAATAACACTGGTACTATTCACAATATCTCTTTGGATAATAGTAATTATAATAATGTTATCACATTATCCCCATTAAATCTTCCAAAAATTGACACAGGTATTTTCAATGATGAATTATACAATACTGAAAAAATGAATTCATTTGAAAGTAATCAATTAACCTATTCTACCAATACTGATCATAATCATATGGATCAGCATAATAATTTCACTTATGACTTACAATCACCAGTGATTAAAGAAAAACCTAAACGTCCAGTTCTATGCTTATTTAGTGCAAATAAATATAATCAAAAAAGACATCTTAAACGTAACAATTCAATCAGCAATGATGATAGTAATGATGATACTAATGTTGATGATGACAACAATAATGGTAATATTCATGATAATAAACAAGATATTGATGTAAGACGTTTACGTCAAGGTAAAAATGTTTCCACTACAAAATTATCAGTTACTAATCAAATTAATAGAATCATTGGAAGTAGTAATAATATCAATAATAGTGATAATATTTGTAATCATAATTTAAATTTATTATTATGTAATACAAATGAATGTAAAAGTTGTGTAAATTTACAAGCATATGAATTATCACAAGATCGTTATCGTAATCCAAGTAGTGGATCAACTGTTAGTCAAATACCAAGATCTGATTTACCAGATGTTTACCTGAATGTAAGTTATCAGTGTATGTTATTAATTTAGTACAATCAAGATCTATTTATCCAGTTACATTATTATCAGAATGGGTTTTGTGGAGATTTTAGAAATTTCACTGGTTGAAATCATGAGTCAATTGAAGCTAGACCACCATAGAAAACCTGGAAGCACTGGATGGCCGTTTCGTCCTAGTATGGGATCCCTCAGCAACACGCATCCACGACCCCGAACCCCCCCCGCGAGATTCGAACCCATTCTTATAATAATCAACTGCTCACTAGTGACTGACTTCAGGAGATACTCCTGGAGTTCTTGTGGGAAGTCATTACCAATGGAGTTCAACCAGGTCTGTTGTGAGATAGGAAGTCACTGAAGACAATGGTGTACGGTGGCGCAACTTCGTGGATTGGTTGAAGTTAGACATTAACACCGTTGGATGCCGGCCGGCTCATTGGTTCAGTTGGTTAGGCGCGGGACCGGTAGGTCCCGGGCTCGAATCCCGCGGAGGGGGGTGAGGTCGTGGATGCGCACCTCTGAGGAGTCTCATCCTAGGACGAAACGGCCATCCAGTGCTCTCAGGTTTTCCATAGTGGTCTAGCTTCAATAAACTCGTGATTTCAACCAGTGAAGTTACATTATTATTATTATTATTATTATTATTATTATTATTATTATTGTGTTTTTTTAACAATATTTAAGTAACAAAAATTTTGAGGCTGTTAAAGTTTGTAATTTTTTTTCATTATAACTGATGTAAATGCTTATTGCGTTTACTCCTTAAAGTATTGGGTTTGAGTCTCAGTGTGACTATCAACTCAATCGTGTTTGTACATCCATCTGACGAATCGTAAATAGGTTGAAACGTGAGTTTTGAATTCTATGTAGGGTTTGGTACTTTGTCCATCCCATATAGGTTATTCTAGGCTCATTCTTCTCAAGCCAAATTTTACGCCGTCAATTATTCGCTGATTAACTCCGACTGCTTTTTATATGATCGTGTGTGTGTTAATTACTTACCCTAATCATCATATGTCTGTAACTTATTTTTGTTTGGCTTTAAATATCGATTTACGCCTAAATAAAAGGAGTTGGCCTACTCGCCTTCTCCATTACGCATCGCTTCCTTCACTGCGCTTCTCTGACTGTCTGTTGTGATCAATGAGTGTAGGAAATATACAAATTCAAACTCCATTCTTGTATTCGACTTATTTAATTCGGTATGTACCAACGTGATTTAAGTCGATAATTATATATGACGGTTGGTGGTATGCACATTTCAATAACAATCATTCATACGATCAAACTGGAGTTAGGTACAGAGCCACTAAATTTACTACCAGCCACCCTCCAACTCTGGTCAAAAGAATTCAGTAAAATGTTGCAGAAAAATGATTTTCTTGGAGTTTCATTCTTCAAGATAGGTAGTTTGATGGATGAAAATCGACTGAACTGCACAGTTCGCAGAATGTTACTATACCAAAATCTAAGATCCATACACAATACCTACCACAAATTAATTGGCACGGAAAAATGTTAGACTACTAGTCATAAAAGTTGGTTTTAATTTATTTTTATATACCTGTGGTGTTTGTAGGAACTAATGATTCCTTTTGTACTTGATGTGTGCCTGATTTTGAATTCCAAATACAATAAGTTTGTTTGTACTCACTTAGTTCTACCTGATTTAAATTGTGCTCCTTTGGGGATTCTTAGTTCATGTAATAATTCAAATACTACTATATATTCACAACTCCTTAACTGAACGACGAATAACTGAACAAAGAAGAATAGAAAAACTGTTCGATAATCAATGATTCCTAATGGCGTTTCTGTTGACAATGGTCTTGATGACAACATTAAAGATGATCGGCACTTTTCCATCTTCAACTATCTAGATTAAATATGTAATGTGGGTATACAAACTTATAAGAACTCTTCTTAAGCATACATATGCTCAAGATTGTGTGTAAATTATCAATTTAATCGCATGTATGGTCGTATACAAAGTATTAGTGTGAGCGAATAAGGAGACGATTTTTCTTTTGCTTCAATAGAAAACTCTCATATATCATTTCATTTGCTGGAACGCATAGACTTTGTCAGAGGATGGAATTTTATATACACTTAAAAACCTTTGTTTATGGTATATAGCACCTAAGATACAAAAGAGACAATACTTTATAAGTGAACATTCACTTAATTTGGTAAACACTAGATAGCTGTTTTGTTCTAGTATGCGACTTCGTAACTCTAACAAAGATCGATACTTTTATCTAACTTAGTGAATTGAACCCAGATATATACTACGGGACTCCGGCTCACTGTTCTGTAGGCTAACCGTTAGTACTCTGGACCGAGGGTTCTGGGTCCAATCCTATGTAGTGGAGTTGTTGGTGTGTACAGCTGAGTCCCATAGTAAAACTAAGAGGCCCTCCAGTGCTTCCAAGCTTTCGATGGTTAACTAACTTAGGTTAGTATGTGATTTCAACAAGAAAAATAACACATCTGTCATTAAGGGTGGTGTTGTTACAGAAACAGAAAGCAAATTTATTCAACAGTCACAATAAGTTCCAGACGGTGGTAACTTAAATGCTGTTTGACAACGATGTTCATTACGATTATATAAATTGAAAATTATAAGAACCATTTTTCATTTATAATTTCGTTGACCAAGCTCGAAGACCCTGAGCTCAAAGCACGAACTTTAAACCTCAGAACAAGATATTAGCTACAGGTAAAATGACGAATAAAGAAATTTTTTAGCTAAAGCTTGAAAAATTAGTACTATTGAACAATACCAATTATACCAGCACATCAACTCGCTTTACATACAGTTAACAGCTGGATAGTATACTACATTGGAACAGAACAAAAGTATGTCGTATCATTTGAGAATAGCTCAAACTGTTCTACTTTATATAGACTGTGTTAGAATTTGATGCTCTATTTATCGCCTTGGGATACTTATTTTTTTATTATGGTTTCTGTCTACTTATAATTAATAAGTAACATAAAAATGTTCTTTTGATTAATATCATGAATCGATGAATGTTAGACCACCACTGAAAACCTGAAATCACTGGAAGATCGTTTCGTCCTAGTACGGGGCTCCTCAGCAATGCGAATCCACGATCGCGGATGCCCATGATCTCAATAAAAAAACTTAACAATTTTTACAGCCTCCCACTGATAAAAATTTTCTTCAAACATGTTAGCTACCTAATTAACTAACTAATAGAAACTTTTTTCACTTAAAGCCACCATCAATGTCGACTCTACAATCTCAACGGAGCAGTTTATGTGGCAGAAGTAGGATGGAATTGTTATATGTGGATAATGAACTAGATAGAACCAACAATCCCAGATGCAAACTTAGTACAAATGGAATAATTAGTTCATCAAACTTGGGAGAAAATTTATCAGACGTGATTGACTCTGATCACCGTTTCTCTGTGCAGCATACAAATGGAGCAGGTGACAATTGGAGCTTGGTCGATGAGTTGGTTATTTTTCCTCAACCACAATCTCTTGGATTGGTACGTAATCAAACGTTTAATGCAAGAAACACATATCATCAACCATTACCTCAATCATCTTCAAATTTGGCTCCATCCTTTTTTAAACCATATCAGCTAACCGATGATAATTTCGGTAATTTACCAGTTAAAGATAAAGAGCATCACATTAGTATACAACAACAACTTAGACGGGCATTAAGTTTATCATCTAGACGTAAATCACCTCGTTCATTAAATGAAGAAATCCAATCAATCATGGATAAACACTACGAAATGACAGGAATTAGAATGACAATTGGTAGTGGATCATCGCAGAAGAATTCAACGACTACCAAGTCATATATAAATTTATTTGGATTACAGACAGGCAATAAAACACAACCATCCAGACCAAGAGTAAGTTTAAAACTTTTCATTTTTCTGTATTTTTCCCAATTACATCAGTCAATCTTAGACGCTGTGTCAAATAATTTTTCTCGTAGAACGTTTTAACGGAGCTGTCGTCAAAGTTAAACTCTTATATAATCATAATTGGTTCAGATATTTATGGTTTATAGATCACTTTAAAGATAATTTCGTCACGAATTAATATCCTGTAAAGAAAAATTAAAAACCATGAAGTACTGAATACCTGTTTGGTATAAGGTTTCTTAACTGTATACACTGTTATAACTTGTGACCGCCGATTAGAGAGCAGTGACTTATCGATCGGACCAATGACGCGTAAAACCCGTACGAGCAGTCTAGAGTCCTTATTGGTCCTACTTTCCGCCTAGCCCAGACAATTAAGTTCAGAACACCAATCCGAGCCTCCGCGATATGAATCACTATATTTCAAACATACTGAGTTTATATACCAATCAAACAGACCACAACGTACCAATAAAATATGAAACAACATTTGTACAAGAATTAGCCAGATGTGGTTGTGAATAAGGGAGGTAGTAATTAATATACTGGATATAACTCAAGAATGGTAAAACGTATAATAATAGTTTATGGGTCAAAATAAAGCTTATAATAAGAGGAATATGAATATACATAGTTTAGTTACTTAATAACTATACAATGGAAATATAAGTTTAGTATTGGTCCATAAATGGATCCCAAAAATTAACCATTCACACCCATAATCCCTCCAAGAACCAAACCTGAAGCCTGCCGAAAATACAAATGGAGCATCATTGAGTTGAGACCCGGTAGTCTGTAAATTCAACCTTCATTCAATCTCATGATATTACACTACAATCTCATCAGTAAGTAAATAGCTTAGTCATGAAATAGTCTAACTTCACAAATCAAAATTCCTCACCACAACTTAGTGAATCTATTTCAAAGCCGATCATTTGATTTGGATAACATCTGAAGATAATAACTACATAAGTTTCGTGGATCTGGTTTTTCTGTCCGACTTATTTCACCTAAGCTTATTTTACTAGAAAGAATAAGTGGCATTATAAAGATTATACTACAACGTAGCTTGTTCACTAGCATTGTAAGAATACTAACCGTGAAGCTCAATAATTACGAACAATAATCGATTACAGTCTATAGAATACATCAATTTAGTGAAGATAAATCATATTCATCACTTCTGCAAACCAAAGTACAGTTAGTTTGACACTGTTAAATGTGCATAACCAACCATTTATTGAGTGAAGTCATATAGAAACGTTTACTGAGTTAGTGAAGACCTGAATGGAATCTTTATAAATTGTTGAGCCATAGGTAAACCCATAAATGTATCAATACCTCGGAAATGATCAAATTTATGAAATGATTATCTTATCCATATTTAAACCAAACTTAACAACATGTTATTGGCCTACTGTGGTCACGAAATTGATCAATTTGTTTACATTAAGTTAAGCTTTAGTATTATTGATTTACTCCGAATGTTTACTTCTGTTTAATATGTATTCTGATGTGCAAATGTATCATAAAACTCCTAGTAGGGTAAACTATGAATAACCATTGCAACGTAAATTATAATTAATAATGTTATAAACGTCATACCAGTTGAAAAAATTGGTGACTACCCGGATTCAGTAATTAAATGGATGACGCATCGGCGTTTGAAGCAAACTGTACTGGGTTTGAGTTGTAGGAAGTGGTACTATTTCAAGCCCTCATAGGTTATGGGATGGTGGAGATTTGTTCTCTGATCTGGATAGTTTGATCATGGGGCTTTCATCGTTCTTCTGAACGACATCATCAGCACAAACCACATAGGTTATTCTAGTCTTTCGACAGACCAATCTATTCATTCTTCTCAAGCCACATTTTTACCCTGTCACTTGTTCACTTATCAATCCTGAATGTTATTTATATGATCATATGCTTGTTAATTACTTATCCCAATCATCACGTATCTGTAACTTATTTTTGTTCGACTATTAATATCGATTCACGCTTGATTAAATGGAGTTGGCTCATTCGCCTATTCTACTTCACGTCATTTCGTGTCGCTTCGCTCTCTCCTCCTCGTTTTTTCACTTCTTATTCTGAATGTATCTGGATAAATGAATGTCTGGAATAAATTCCTCCAACGACACCCGTCGTCATATAAACCAGACTAGTCTAGGTAATATACAAACTTAAATGGAAGATTTATATTTGTTCATACATTCATCTAAATTAGAGTCAGATCAACCAGCACCACAAATTTGTCCCAAAACTAAGTATTAACAGTAGGAAGAAGGTACTAAACGAATCCCAAATAAGATAAAACGTTCGTCCTAGATTCTACTCTGTAATTAATTTGTACATCAAATTTATTTAGTTTTCATTATCCTACTTCTTCTTCTTCTTCTTTTTTTCACCTTACATAGAAACGTCGATGTAGTTGGACATTCACTAAAGATATTACTAATGAATTTCAAACAAGTTTAAAAAATGTTTCAAGTGCATTACATTTAGATTGTCCTACATTTGATCTCTTTCAAAAATTTAAACATAATCGTGATAAACCATCTGTACTTGAATCATTATCTATGACTGCATTACCATGTCTTATCCCATTAAGACCACGTATTCAATCTGATATAACAAATGATATGACTTCTATTAATGAAGAATTAATTATCAAACAATCTAAACAAAAATTTCATTCTGATTTATATAATATAAAATTAATTGATTTCAAACGAAATAGTATAGGAATAAATGATAAAAGTGTCATTCTATTTGGAATACAAAAAAACAATAATATTAGACTTGTTAAAAGTAATTGGAATTTGACTAATCTATAAATCAAGTGACATAACATGACTTCATTACATCATTAAGTCATATACAATTTGCAGCATACTATGTAGAGATACCGTTTTTTTTGTTGTTGTTTGTTTTGAAATACCCAAAAGATACCATTGTACAAAATCTTTCAATGTTTTATGAATGATCTTCCTTTCATATGAATTATGTTATTCTTCAACTCGTTCATCATTTCTATGATCCATTATATTAGATTATTATTCAGCGCGGTATTCAATATTATATCTTGTCATCATATATAGTTGATCTTCTTTTTATGTATTTCATTTATGGTTGTATATAATTTTTAAATAAACTATGAAATTTCAATTTATAGCCAATCTCTTTTTTCTTTTTGTATATATTGAGAAGTAGAGAATTTGTGTTAAGGAAGAAGAAGAAGAAGAAGAAGAAGCCAATAATTCTTAGGTTCCATTAGATTTTTGTAATCTTTTTGAGATAGATGTCATCAATGGCTAACTTGAAATAGACAGTTATTAAAAGTAGAGATTGGATATAGTTAACATAAAACACTTCAATTAGGTTTATTGATATCTGGTACTACTCATCAGATAGATGTAACGGTAATCTTGAAGGAACTGATGATTCCTGGTGAGATTTCATCCCGCATCATCTAGCTTTATAGTCAGAAATCCCACCATTGATCTAGTCAAGAGGTGACTGACTTTTCTCAGAACTGAGATAAATTTACAATTGATTGATTACTCACTCGTTGTGCTTCCAAGTCCTTCTTATTGTTAATTGAATTCAATAGATTAAGTTACAATGAATTCAGGGCCCAAAGTTTCCTGTAGACTATACCCAACCATCACATTACATGTCAACATAGTGCACATTATGTTGAATCATTCAGATTTATAGCCACATTGCAGCTTGGTCGATGGAATTAGATCAACACCAAGAAGAAATTAACATACATGATATTGGTCACTTACTCAGTGATTAGTCAATTGTAAACAGAGAGGACTAGATATCTATTTGGTTTTCCTTTTTGATCTCAACTGTGAGATCATGACTCCATAAAAGTTTGGACAGAAAAAAACAATCAGATTTCACAAGGAAGATTAGATCAATGGCAGTCAAATAATATCATGAATTGACTAAGGTTAGAGACAAGAACCGTCAAACATCAACTCGGTGATCTAGAGATAACGAACCCGCTATGAAACATGTAGATCTTCGGTTTGATCACTGAAGAGATTATAGTTATGCATCGCTAGAGAGCTATATACTAAAATAAAACAACTGTCCAGTACTTTCCATTTCTAAGTGTTTTACAAGCTAGTAAGTAAGACCGACTATAAATAGGAAGACAGTTCGCGTTGTGCATCTCATGTAACTCACCATTTAGACTGATGGCTAATTGTTTCTATTCATCACTGTTCTCCCAAATACAATATATATCATGAATTACTAAACATATGCTGAAATACAGAAAGCGGAAAATACTAAATACTATTTTGTATAATCCTCAATATTGGTCGAATTCCATATCAGATAACTTCGTAGGTAAACTATAAACATGACTGATTGAAGGACATTTTATAACGGCTGATCAACGTGTGTATTTCGATGCTAGAGATGTTTATATAGTATTCGTGTAACATTAAAAACATCTCACAATAAATAAGATAGTAGTTTCTATCTATTAAGGTAGATATATTAGCATAACATTATATTCATCACTGGCTTCAAGGTGAAATTTTATATTATGAATTGCTCATCATGATAAATTAACAATCGTATAACTTTTAATAACAAATTCTAATTTTTAGAAACTGATGCCAAATGTATTTATAGAACATATGAATTTCGGATAATGTAATGAAAAGACAAAGATTACCAGAACTATGTAATACATTAGCGCAATATATTTCAAACATTCTGAACACAGTTATATAATATACCCTTGTGAGCCGGGGTAGTTTTACATTGGTTTTGAGGAGAACCAGACATCATCCAGACTTTCACGTGACAACCCAAACAATAAAGCTCAATCCCGTTCAACATATGAGTCAGACACTATCCAGGCTTAAAAATTGTAGCACAACTATTACAGCTCAATCCCGCTTCACAGAATAACCAGACAACGTATAGGGTTTAACGCTGCAATCAGAATAGTACAGCTCTCAATCCTGTGGGGCAACCACACAATTACCAAGCACCCTGTTGGACCATTCGCAACATTTATACACACATTCACGTCACATGTAGAATTATTCCGATCAATGATCACGCGAATCAATTATGCACAGCTCAAAGAGGCCGAAGTTGACCTATTCCGCTTACACGACAGTCAAACTCATCAATGTTTGCAATGGTGATATGCTTTATAATGTTCCAATGACAACGGCCCTTGGGAACACTGAAGAGTAACCACCAGTATGAATGAAATTGATTAACCAGAAAACTAAGTTTGCGCACGAACAGTCAGCAAAACTTGCCAAAGTAATACCGAACCATCCTTAATATCAATGGCGAACCTCCAGCCTCATATATGATCTTCAGCTCTACACAGTAATATACTTATTAAGTGCATTACATATGGAAAATTATAAAGTCAATAAAAAAAGTGAAAGGTAAGAAGAAAGAAAGATAATGAAAAAATAGTTCTCAAAACAATCTACAATTCACCACGTTGGATAATAGACCAATATGATTAGGGTAGGTTTAGGATGAGAACATATAGTTCCGATAATCTTCGTCTTCTTATTACATTTATCAAAAGAATAAATGATTTTAAATAAGATTTTTGACTAAAATAATTACAGTTTCTTGTTAAAAAGTACTTTCAATGTGGTTCATGATTGATAGACTACTCAGAATGTAAATGGTTTGTTGTAATAGATTTTCGAACCATATTACTTTTCGATAAACTGTAAGATTTGAATGTTAAATGTTGTATAATTTACCTCAGGCACAGATTTTTATCATTATGTATGATGGAAGCTTATTTCTTAATTCATTCAATGCTAGCTGCCTCAAAGATATCTTCGTGCTGAGTGCAGAATTGTAAAAATTACACAAAATGAAAATGAGTAGTTAACTCAGTATACATTATACTAGGACGGAACGGCCATCCAATGCTTCCAGGTTTTCAATAGTAGTCTAACATAAATCGATTCATCATCTCAATAAAAACTTAATAATCTCCAAAACCCTATACTGAACGTTAAATATTTTCCAAATAATATGGACTAAAATTCATAAATCTATCTACCACCACTTAAAATATCAAATTTTCTACGCTTTAATTTGTCTTCAAATAGTCGTGACTAAAGTAGTCAGATGAATAAAAGTGACTGTTTATCGACTATTTAATTCTTTTCAATTTTTGTTTCTAGTAGTTTGAACTATTAAAAGGTTCTTAATTTCATTCAACATTAAGGTGTCACGATCTTTCTAATATGACAAGCACACAAACACATACTTAGAAACCAAGAAAGAGGGAGAGAGAGAGAGAGAGGGAGACTTGCACGCACGAGTAACAATATGAGAATAATAGTTGAAAGTAGCTAAAAGTTGTTGTTATAAATACACGCATTTTGTAAATTTATTATTTCAGTGTAAGTAAGTGGAATCGTAGTTGTGTGTGTGTGTGTGACTGAATGAGAGGGAAACGAATGAAAATAAGATAATCTCATTAAAAACAGTATAGATAAAATATGGCACGAAATGAATAGTGAAAAATATAATGACATAAGAAATAATGACAAGAATTATATTGTTTGATATGAGATATAATCTTTTATTCTCAGTAATATTGTATAGGGAAAAATCTGTTATATAATTAATCACTATGATGATGAATTTACGTCATAAATAAGTTCCAAATTTATGTATATATATATATATATATATATATATATATATATATATATATATATATATATATATATATATATATATATATATATATATATATATATATATATATATATTCATGAATGATCACAATTGATGAATCTTAAATAATAACTAAGAAAATATATTCAATATTCTGTGATGTACAATGGTACTCCAAAGGAGCTTAGCTACCTAGTATGAATAGTCATCCATTACACCTTATTTTAGAGGAAAGCTGTTACACTAAAACAATGTATATGTTGCGTTATGGTTAAATCACAGGTGAAATAGACAAACAACAATTATGGATCTTTACTAATCTTCGAATAACACTATATTCGATAAAAAAATTATCTTTAAACACATAGTAAAGACTACAGTGATCAATCAATTGTGAATACATCTCAGTCCTACAGAAGGTCGGTCGCAGCCCGGATAGCCCAGTGATAACGTCTCTGGCTGTGAAGCTGAGTGACACGGAGTCGAATCTGTCAGGGAGCTTCAGTTCCATCAAGATTATGGATACACCTTGCTGAAGAGTGCCAAATAGAACGAAACCCGGCTCCAGGGTTTCCTGTTGACTACCTTTAATCACCATTCTAAAGACTGCAGTGTGGTATTTGAATGAACTAATAATACCTTTGTACTTGTTGAATGGTTGATTTCGAATTCCAAATACAGTACATTCGTTCGTGCTTATCTAGTACTTCTTGATCCGATTACGATATTTCTGGGATTCTTAGTTTATATTATAATTCAAATACTCCTAATCATCATATGCAGTTTTATCAAACTTAAATCAATGATGTATGGAACATGTCAGATTATAGTGTTATTATTATTATTTTCGTAAGAAAATGTTTTTGACAACTTTCAGTTTCATTCAAAAAAGGTAATTCAATATAAATTCAAAATCAAATTAGCAATTATTTCTTTTTCAGTAAGCGGTTGTGGAGTTTATTGAGCTCAGACTGATATCATGACAATTATCATGTGCCCATTAGTGACTGACTTCAAAATCAGTTTCCTGGAGTTCTAGTGAGAAGGCATGACAAGTGGAGTTTAACAGTGTCTGTTGTAAGGCAGTTACTCACTGAAGACAATGGCAGACGGTCGCACAATATAGTGGATTGGTTAAAGTTAGACATTAATGCTGTTAGATGCTGGCTCAGTGGTCTAAAGGTTAGACGTTCATGAGTGAAGCTGGACGTCTTGGGCTCGGATCCCGCGTGCGGGGTTGCTGAGGTGCATTGAAACAGCCGTCCAATGCCTTTAGGTTTCAATGATGGTCTAGCAGTGAACCAATTATTTCTTTAACAATTATACCGAATAAATCTTATTGGTTCTAACTTGCCAAAATTTTTATTCATCAGATGGATGTATTTGTATTCAAAGATTGGGATACAAGTATATCTAGCTGACAAGTCCTAAATGGGTGAAAAGAAGGTTCTTGATTTCACTACAAGCCACATTTCATCTATTCTATGTAAA